TGATATCGGAACATCTTTCAATGCAATATAAATTTTAAGCTGAATTTATGGTACTCCGTTGGTTAGCATTAAATTAAAATATCCTATCATGTCAAAAAATAAACGAAAAACAAAAAGTTTTGAGTCAGCTGACACCTAATACCACAACTTATGGAATTGCCTCACTCACTGTTGCCACCAAACATCCATGGGGGAAGACAACAAACATGTGATCACATGCATAAATAACAAGAAATTGAAAGCAAACTTCTCAACTCACTTGATCCAGTTTCTTTCATCACATAGTCACAAACTCTCACAAACTCTCACTCATTTCTTCTTAGTTTTTAATTATTTTTGGTGGTTTATTCCTTTTATCAATAAATGTTGTTTTGTTTTATTCTTGTTGAATTTCAAGATTTCTCTTTTCATTTGTTTGAGATTTATATGTTTTCTCTGACAGAAGTCTTCATACAAAACATCTCTAACTGACAAAATTAAAATTTAAGGAGTTGATCTACTTCATTATACACTCACATAGTACTATATCCTCAGAATTTAATTAAGTCATCTGATTATAGTAGATGTTATAGAAATTTTATCATTTAAACAAAACTACACTTAAAATTTGATAACTGATTATTGCTGTTCATGTTTACAGACTGTTTTTTTCTTTTTGTCATATTATGAGTTCTACATTAACATTATCATATTTAAAATTGATAAAATCCAAAGAAGAATCAGCAATATTATCAGCCCAGATCTGGCAGCTCAGTTTCAGTCACTTTCCCACTACTATAACGTTGCCTCTGTGTCTTTTTTAAAAATACTTTTATAGTAATTGTTCAGATAAGCTCTTTACTATGGTACCTAGACTTTTTGAATTTAAGTGCAGTACTAAACTGGTGTCAAAATCTCATCAATTTATAGTTGAGCTGGCTAGATATAATCATAAATTCTATGCTAACAGTTTCTTTTATCGTATTTCTCACTTATGGAATTTCCTTTCAACTCCATGCTTTCCAGTCAACTTTAATCTGCAAAAATTTAAATGCAATGTTAATTGCCATCTGCTGTCCTTCTGATTACTCAATTTTCTTCCTGCCCATTATTAATGTTTCTTTTCCTAATTCTTTCATACACCATGTAATCCCTTGTGTCATACTGGGTCATGAGGTCAGATCATCACACTATCTTGACTTTGGCCACTCTCTAGTTCTTTTCCACTGCCTTGGTGTTCTGTCATTCTTATTGTCTACCTGTTGTCTCAGAGTTGAGAGACATGGCCAACACATCTATGTTTGCTTTTCTTGTTAGTCTTGGTTATGTTCTTCACACCAGTTCGCTGTTGAATCCAGGTGTTGCTCTTTCTGTCATGTAAATGATTCAGTTTTGCAATAATTTTATTTTTTTACAAACTATGCATATTAAAATAAAAAAGAACAAACTTACTAGTTTTTTTTCTGGAAAGTGTTTCAAATAAAATTTTACACTATTTACATTGTTCTCAACACACTATTTACTGTTATTCTCATCTTTATTGCTTTATTCACAATGTTTCAGCCATTGTACACTCTGGTCTTCTTCAGGTGGTATTTCTTGGAATTTTGAACCAAACCATTTATATAGTCAACAGGAGTAGATTGTTAGAACAGAGTGTATAATGGCTTAAACATCATGTATAAGGCAGTAAAGATGAGGACAACAGTCTGAACAATGTAAATAGTTACAGTGCCTCATCTCAAAAATATAGACAAATTTTTTAAAGTTTTCCCTTCTCTTCTTTTATTATCTCTCTTCCTGTAGATTAGGATAACATTAGAATTTGCCAAGCATATTCTAAAAAGTAGAGGTAAAAGTTCTTCTTTTCTATGGTAATTATCCAGTATATCTGTCTATCGTGATATAATTGACATTTGTATTTCTAGAATAATTTAATACTACTCTATACACTACATGTTTTAATGGGGAATAGTGAATTCAGAATTTAAAGGCCAATCATATTGTATTAGATTTATTCTAGTAAAATTCATTGGATCTTAATTGTTTAAAAACTCTACTAGCAACCAACTGTGAGTAGAGTATCCAAGCTGATATTAACTGATAAATGCTGAAGTTCTTATTAACAAATAATTCAGAGGATTAATTATATTTTTTATTTTATAATTTTTTTTTTCAGATTATTACTTTTTCAAGGCTGTTGTGAAAACTCTCCTAAGCTAACTTTGTGCATTGTTTGTATTTTCAAATAAGTGACCTTTTCTTTTTCTGGCTGATATTGACTTTTAACCCCAGTTTCTTGTCTTTTAACTGTTTTTCTAAATGATTAGATTGTATCAGCTTTCAATAATAACTGATCCTGCTTTTATATATGTTCCTATACAGTTTGGTTGCATAAATTATATTCAAAGGAAACTTAGACCGAGCAGCAAATTATAACTTTTTCATCTACTTGTATAGAACTTTGTACTATACAAGAAGATCTACATCTAAATGTATAGAACTTTGTTATTAAAACTCATGTTGTGTTTGTTAATAATTGCTTTGCTCATTTCATTTTGTATTCTAAAGTGTAATTAACTTCGATAGAGTATATCATCTTAAAACTATTACTATTTCCATATTTATTCAGTCTTTATTAAATTCATTTTGTCTAATTAACATGGATTTCTTTTATGTTCAGTTTTGTAATATTTTAAATTGTTAGAGTTACTTGTTTTCATGTATTATTGTGAGTTACAAATCTTCAATTAAAATGAATTCTAAAAGAATTTCTACTAAGAAATTTTTGTAATGTTTTTTGTTTTATTTCAGTATTCTTTTTGTTTTTATAGAAGAAACTTTAAAATAAAAAGAGTTTCTACTCAAATATGGGTATCCACTAAAAATAATGTTTGAAGCAATAAAAATATGTCTGATTAAAAAATAAAATTCATTAATTCTTTAGAAATTGCTTTGTTTATGTTTCAGATACAAAACTGAGCAGATATGTGTTTTGAGAAAAATCTGAATGAGTGCACTTTAAAGGCAAAATAGAATCTTGTTTTATTGTGAAGCTCTCCATAGTTGAGTGTTAAAAGCAGGCCAAATCAAATGGTGGTTTCTCCTGCAAGGGAGGCATGCATGTTCAAATCCTGCCAGAGGGCACATTTTCTATATTAACTTTTCTTGAGTGCACAAGACAGGAGATGAAATAAATACTGTTTAAAATAAACAGAGTGTCTACTCAAATATGGGTAGCCATTAAAAATAACATTTGAAGTAATAGAAAGAAGAAACTTTCTAAAGAAGCATGTATTTAAAGGTTTTGTTTTTATCTTAATTGCATTTGTTGTTCCTATAGATTAATAGATTTTATGTTATCTTTGTTCTTATGAAAAATACAATACTGAATATGTCTTATTAAAACCTATCATGAGACACACTATTGCCTTATCCCCCACCCTGCCAAAAATGCCATGAAGGATTTAGCATAGTAACCTGATATTTATTTGGGTATGGGATGATTGGGGTTTATGTATGTATATATATATGTATGTATATAAGTGAACTGAGTGGTTAGAATGTTTGGTTTCCAACCATAGTTGATTTATCAGGAAGGTGTCTTCCTGGTGTTATTGATCTGGGGAGACAATCCAGTGTGTGGTATCTTTGGAAAGTGTCTATAAAACCATAACATAGGTTGACTCAAGGCTTATGAGGAAAATTTGATATACAAAACTGTTTGGAAGCCATTGATAGTTGTGACTGAGGGTTTGAGTTTGCTTACATTGTTCAAACTACTGATCATACCAGTTGATGCACTCTTTCCCAGAAACTGTAACTAAGGTCCAATTAGAATAGGTGCAGTATGAACTGCAGGTGGGATTTGTGGGTGTTTAACAAACACAAATGTGCCTGAGCATGCATCTGCAACAGGGATTAGCTACCCACCTTAGCAGATAGGCATACTCTGATACAATCAGCCAGCCATTATATACAGACCCCCCCACACACATATATATATATATATATATATATATATATATATATATATATATATATATTGATTGTTACAGTGTTGTTATACATTTGTAAGTTATCAAATCTCCAGAGCTGATTATCTATAGTGACAATGGACTTGTGGATAGAAGTTTTCCTAAATTGACTATAGCAGCATAACCTTTTGAGTCAAAAGGTCCATTAGTTTAATGTAAATATTGAAAACCTCACAGACACTATAAAGTTGATTTCATTAACCACATGCAGAGATTATTTTAGCCTCCCCATGACAAAAGTTTTTTTACTCCAACATACACAAAGATAAAATGTTCAAGCCTTAGTCATGGCTATTATAAAGTTGATCTTGCAAATGCAGAATCTATATTACATCCTTTTGGTTGTAATATAGATTATTCTGGTAAATTCTAGAAAAATGATGGGATGTATAATGTAATATAAAAACTGCCATGGAATGACGCTTGAAAACACTATGAAAATAATAAGAATGATGGCTTTATTTCAATCTTAATTTTATTGTAGCAGAGTTAACCTGTTAAGGCCAAAAGCACCCAAATGTGTATGTAAGTTTCACATTCTTACAGTCTGTGAGTGCCTGAATGTACCCGCAATTGGATAGCACTATGTTCCAATACACCACGGTATTAATACCCATGATCAGTTAGAAGTTTGGGAAATCAACAAATTTATACAAGTTGTAGATTTCCAAAACCATATTTTAAAACTAGTAATACCAAGGAGGTTAAATTTAGTATAATTTGAAAGAGAAATTAATTTACTTCCATATAAAAATGACTTGTAATACTTGATTTTCAATGGTTTTTGAGATATATCAGTTTATTTGCACTAACAACACATTCATATTTTGCAACAATTTAGTCAAGACTCTAGGGATTTAACAATTGAAATCTCTTCAAGAGCTGATAGGGTTGAATGTCTAATATTTATCATTTATTGTTATGTTAAAATAAATTTTACCTTGATTAAAACTGCTGAAGAAGCATGTTCTTTTTTACTTGCAGGATTATTGTCTTGACAACAACTCTCCTTGTGGTTAATTTTGATACTGATGCAATATGCATGAAGGATTTAAAAGGACATGTATTTGGGTATCTTGTCATCTTGTCTGTTTGCCTTGTGGTGGAAGGATGCATAGCATGGACGAGCATGAGAGGAAGCATTATAAACACCGAACCAAGACGATATATGCAACATTTTATTTACATGAGATTAGGTAAGTAATAGGTTTGTAATACTGGAGACACAGAAGGATGTCATTGTCTGAATTGATTACTTTGTCAGTGTTACACTTTCTTTATTTACCTGGAAATTGATCTTGAGGAAGAGCTTAAGTTTCTAAAAGGAAATCGATTGATTTGATTTTTATGGCTTTTAACCCTTTGTTGGTTATTTAAAGCCGAAACATATTTTGGATTGTAAGAATAATTTATTTTTTAGCTTTTGTTGAGTGAATATTACATTAATAAATCTTTTGAGAATAGAAATAATTTTCCAAGAAGTCCTATTATTTAACTTATAGCTGGGGTGGGGATGAGTTATGGAGTCATACATTACTCATGGGTAAGTGAATGCAATGAACGTGACTGGAATTTGAACACTGCTTTGTAAAAGGAAAAGGACTTTCAATGTTGTTATAACCTATTAAGCAACTGTTCTTGAAAAACTTTGTTGTTATTAGAAGCCAAATCATTTGCTCAGGGTACAATGATAAATGCACATGTCTTGTAAATGACTGGCTGCAAAAATTTTGCTAAAACCGGTTGCATTGAAACTCTGGGTAAAATCTGCAAATAATATATACATTACTGATTACTAATTATTCAAGGGAAAAAAATGAATATTAAGAAATTTTAGAATTAGTAAGTTTCACATTATATTTTATTTTGAGGATTTTATCAAAATGCCAGCTTCAATATTGATCAAGTACAACAATTTATATATCTGGGAAGTGTTTTAACAGGACAGAAAGTGCAACATGGAAATTTGAAAGTGTATTGGGATAGCAAAAGATGCCTTCCACAAGTATAAGCTAAGCAAAGTATTAAGAAACAGAAAAATTTCATTAGAAACAAAGAAAAGATTACTGAACTGCTATGTAATATCAATCCTCCTATATGACTGAATGTTAAACAGTCCCACTGATGAATAAGAGGCTTGAAGCAACAGAAATGTAGTTCTACAGAAGAATGCTGAGAATACCTTGGACAAAACATGTGAACAATGGCAAAGTTTGAAAGAAATTGGAAACAAAAAGGACAAGATAGTTTAAGAAAGAGGGTTTGGAAAATGTGATGCTCACAGGACATATTGAAGGTAAGAGGACAAAGGAAAAAATGCATAAACTACCTTCAGTAAATGGATGGCAAAACAAGGTTTAGGAGAGGTATCAAAAAGACAAAATTTATTAAAAGCTACAAAGGATAGGAAATTGTGGAGAGACATGATCGCTAATGTTCTGAAGAGACATGAAGAGAGTTTTTAAACACTTTTTTGCCTTTTTGCATATTTTTTTTATATTTTTAAAACTGCAAATTAATTCAGTATAGATCCTGTGATCAGTTTTACAAGACACCTACATATCCCTTATTTTGAAATTAAAAATAAACATATGTATACATAAATATATGTAAAAGATAGTATGAATAAAGACAACTTACATTATTCTTTTACAGATATATTTTAGATATATCTGAAATTTTACACATAAGTTAATATGTATATAGTGATATAAAATATAGTAATACAAAAGAAGTACACTTTAACTAGTTCTAAATTTAAATGAGGTTACATTTTAAATGATTCTCTTATGCAGTAAGAGTTTCAAATTTGAATTTTATGATTAGCATTTGTTCTGAAGGATATAAATATGAGATCTGATAATAATTTCAATACATTTATTGAACATCCAGCCCTGACAAATGTCTTGATGCAAAACTCTGGAGTCTGTCAATTAAGTTAAGTCAATTCTACGTTTTTTTTTATTTGAAAGTTATATATGACAATTTAAAATGACATATTTAAATGAACCTATTTAAGAAAGTTATATATGACAATTTAAAATGACATATTTAAATGAACCTGTTTAAGAAAGTTATATATGACAATTTAAAATGACATATTTAAATGAAATTAATATTAATTTTTGTATTGTATACAAATAATTTTATATAAATATTTAAGTTATATATAAATTAAATTTTATTTATATATAAATTTAAATTTTATTTATATATAAATTTAATCTATATATAAATTTAATTTATATATAAATATAATTTATATATATAGATATAATTTATATATAAATAATAATTTATATATAAATAATATATAATTTATATATAAATAATATATAGTTTTTTATATATAAATAATTTTGTATATAAATAATTTTTATTATATAAATATAATAGTTAAAGAAATATTAATTATAAAAATAGTTATAATGACATATAAAAAAATTATAAAATGATATATTTAAATTATATATGACAATTTAAAATGACATTTAAATTAACCTATTTAATAAAGTTATATATGACAATTTAAAATGACATATTAAAATTTAAATGACACATTTTACCTGAAAGCTTTTATTAGAACCTTATCAATATTAATGGCTAGTGTAATAATTACTGGCTTGGATAGTGAAACTGACCAGTTGAATTCAAATTCCAGTCTAGTCTGTTGCATTCACTTTCATACAAATACCTTTGGGAAAGGCATGAATCCATCTCTTCACCCCCACCCTTCAGCAATGGGTTAAATAAGAGTGTGGAGAAGGCTATCTAGATTTACGTGGCAACCAGTCTAAGAAGGACCGCTTTGAATTCAAAACCTTGAAGAAGACAATGGGAAACTACTACACTTTTGTAAGAAGTCATGTTAATTTATAGATATTAAAAGGAATATGTGGAGAGCCATGATACCCTTATGTCCTGAAGGGAAATGGTATTAAAATATCAATATATTTCTATAATATTTCAATATAAAGCATCTACACTTGTGATGCTATTATCATTGTTTATTTATACAGCAACTAACACTGGCATATATTTTTCAGAAATGTACGTTAATAACACTATTAGTAGGTATATTTAAGAAATCCATTGCAGTTTATATAAATTAAGAATATATTCTTAGTATATGCTTTAATATAGATACAATTTTATTACATGCTTAGTTATAGATACAAATCAACTAACATGCCATCATTTATAAATATGTATCACTTTTATTTTTTCATGAATTTTATTTCTGTTTCAGTGATTTTTCTGGTTGAATTGGCTTGGCTAATTGTAGGCGTGGTTTGGACCGCTAAACATTACCAATCATGTGCCCCTGGTTCTGTGAATAGAATTGTTCTTGGTAAGTTGTTGTACTTTTATTAGTAATGGCAAATATATGCATGCATACACTTAAATATAGGTATCTCCACTATTTGTGAATAAGTTTTAAAAGTTTCCTTAAAGTCCAATAATTATTTGAATTTTGCAAGAATTTCCAAATCAATGTGTTTTTTGCCTGAAAAAAAGTGCTAAAAAACTAATGGTAAATATTATGTAAACTGCTGATGAAAAAAAAACAAGATTTTTAACCAAAATTTCAAATGTGCTAGAAAGGATGAAAAAAATTAATGAAATAATAAAAAAATACTTTGGTCTTTCCTCTTAATAGTAACATAAGCATTTTAATGATAAAACTTCTTTTTTATTAAGTTTAGGGTCTTTTTTCATCATGCTATGCTGTTTTTCGGCAAATTAATGGAGATACTTACTTAAGTAATTAATGGATTTTTTTTCATTTGATATTATTTCTTAAAATGTTTATAGTAATATATATATATATATATATATATATATATATATATATATATATATATTTTTTTTTTTTTTTGAGCTCTCTGGATATCATCCTCCTTGGGTCTACCCATAAGGATTACCTAGTTTTGCATAAACTATATATATATATATATATATATATATATATATATATATAAAATTCCTCACTGGTAACACAACTCAGAGTTTCATGCACAATGCAATCTTCAGGTGCTGAGTGGAAACTGACCATTATATAATTTAAATTTTAATATTAAAATTTAAACTATGTAACAATCAGTCTCTACTGAGTACCTGAAGATTGCATTGTGTATGAAACTCTGAATTGTGCTACCGATGAGGAATAATATGTATATTTATTAATATATACTTAATAGCTCTGTTATATTACATTGAGCACTATTTTATTAACACCAGCATTCAATGTGCAGTATCTTATATTTATATATATATATATATATATGTGTGTGTGCGTGTGTGTGTGCAATGGCATAGTATTTATAGACGATGTGAACATAGGAATCAACACTGCATAGTCACTGTTAGTTTCATGCTTCAATTTGATCTTCATTAAAAGATTGCATTTAAGTGTGAAATTGACAATCACGCATCACCATGCAGTGTTGATTCATATGTCCACACTGTCTATAAATACTCTCCCTAATACTGAACACAATTTTAAACAAATATAAATATATATTTCATTAAATTCACAATGTGTTTTTATTTTTTCTTATTTTATTAAAAGAAAATTCATTGTTGGATTCAATTTGATGCATTTCATACTTTAGGATTTCATGAAACTAAAGTTAAAATTTCAGTGTTCCCTCAACTTTGTGTGCATGTGTAGTTACATCATAAACATCATGTTTGTAAGATGAAGTCCTAAAGCATGAAACATATCACACAAAAAAATTTTATTCCACTTTTCCTAACATTGTTCTGATATATAAAAAAATATATATACTTTTCTTCCATAAATATATATATATTTTTTTTGCTCTGTCTAGGCAATCTAAGCTTTGAGCACTTTACTTTACTGAGTAGGTAGGTTTTCCTCTAGGCTTTTTACTTTTCTTTTTTCAATATTGTTCTTTTTGTTCAAGACTTTATCTAGATAAGAGTTTTAGGCTTTGACAAGTTGTCTGTTTGTTCCACCAATGTTTTTTTAATATATATATATATATATATATATATATATATATATATATATATACATACATACATAGATAATTTGAAACATTAAATTAATTTAAACTTTAGATTTAAAAAAATTAAACATTAAATTAAGACATTAAATTAGATTAAAATTTAAACACACAATTGGTTTTCATATATTCCATCAGTCATTTTATCATATATAATCTGTATCTTTAAATATAAATATACTTATGTATTCCAAATTTTTATCTCAATAAGATTTTATAAGCACAATGCTATCATGAAAATTTAAAAACCCATTACAAAAGAAAGGCAGGCTGCTATTTTTGTAAACAAAATATTGAAGTCAAAACCTGTTTATAAAATTTGAATAGGTATGGCACTGAGCCTATTTTGTTCATAATTATTTTAATATCTAAATTTGCTGTTGAATACAAAACCAATAGAAAGAGTCCTTTTCCAATTTCAATTTCCATTCTTTTTTTTTTCTCAATATTTCAAAGCCGTTATAAATGATTGGTACACATAGTTTTATGTCTATTAACCTTGTTTGTGGATGAAAAGTGACAGATATATTTACTTTGAGAATACTATATGAATTCAAAATGAATCTCTTATTCAACACACTTGGGAATTAGACATTGCCTGTTATATTGAATTTCTGTTACAAGAGATAATAGAAATCTGAGGAATGATTTCATCAGCATTTTATATTCTTTCACTAAAATATGGATGAAGCAACATCATTAGTTTTTGAGCTTTTTCTTTATTGGAATACTTTGAAATATGATCAGACAGGGAGGAAGAGAATAATGAACAAGTGAATCATGTCTGTGAACATCAACAAAGATAAATTAAGTGAAATATTATAGGCAAAGCTCTTGTGTTGAGTGAATAGTTGGCATTAAATAGATGTTGTTTTGTAAAGAGCTATTTGATATGAAAGTTCAGTTTTTATGGCTTGTTTCCTAACAGGTGTGCTGAAGCTAAGATGATCAGTAAATGAATAAACTATGTAAATATTGCAGATTTTACAAGAACATGCCATATCACCAAAGGCTATTTTATTACCTGTTGCTTCATTGATGGCAAGATGACCAAATTTCAAATCTAAATTATTCATCCAATTAAAATACTATATTTATTAAAAAATATATTCACTTTAAATACAGGAGTAATCATACAAATGACTTCAAATGAGTTATTGCCAGGCAGAGAAATTAGCCCTATTGACACAGATTCAGATTGTGTGTGCATGTACGTGCGTGTGTGTGTGTGTGTGCATTTACATGTATATTTTAATTTAGTTTTTAAGGTTTAAAAAATTAACTTTTTTTTCTCTTCTTTTACTTCATGATTTTATTGCTTAGCTCAAGGTAGTGGTTGTCCAGTCTGAGTAAGAATGGAATGTACTATTCTAATATTTTATTTCAAACTCAATCAATTTGTATGTGCATGTATGTGTGTACATTAAAAGTCACAAGCACATGTAAGTCACTCATGCACAACATAAATATACACATATACATTACATATACATATGCAAGATCACTACTAGACAGTGTGTGATGGACAGAGAATCAGCTCTTCTTTTATAATATAGATATGAAACTAAAATTTGCTTTTCTCTTAGATGAATGTGAGGTAAAAAGATATTTCAAGAAACTGTTGGGGTGTCTCAAAAGTATTCTTGTTTTTTAACCTATCTTTTGATAATCCTATTTCTATAGAAGATTGCCTCGGTCAATTTAAACCGGGTTCAGGGTCAAATGTTAATCATATAGGCAGAAGGATTGTTCAAGATTTTTTCACATCAGACTGCTGCTGATTTGATAATGGCAAAATCACAGCATTCTATATTCCAGGCTTTCGCATGGTACAACTAATAGTCAAAACTGGAGGCCTATTTCAAAAGCTCCTTGTTTTACTGTAAGCAATTCATGTTAGTTTGCATTTTGGATTTGCAATAGTTTATTACTGTAGTTGGCTTAAAAATTTCTAAGAAAATTTTGTTTTTACACTTGGAAGAACTTATTTAGCTTATCTAATTGCAGTTTAAGATTTATTTTATTTCTTAGGACTTGATATATTAATTTGTGTTTACTGCAAATATAACCTTTTTTTGCATGAAATTCACTAAAAATGTAATTTACAAAACTTAGTCTTTTCACTTCAAAGTTTCTTTATTTACTTTACTTATTTATATTTTTTACTTATTTATATTTGCTTTTATGAATAAAAATTTCATATAGAATATTAAATTTAATATTCTATGTGAAATTATTATTCATAAAAGCAAAATAGACTAATGATAAACTTGAATTTTTTGGTGTAATCTGTATTTGTTTCTAACAGGTAAAAAAACATTAAATTTTCACCACAGTTCTTTTACCATAATTAGCTTTTTTACACTTCAAAATTAAAGACAAAAAATAAAAATCTAGACAAGGCAGTATATTCTAACTGAAAAAACGCATAATTTTACTTGATTTAAAGAAATAATTAAGCTGATTTTATTTTAGTCCTTCGTCTTACAAATGTTACAAAGACACTTTCAAGAAAGTTAATTTTAATAATGTTTTGTTATGTTTAATTTTTAATAGAGATTTTTCTTCCTCAATTTTGTTTTTAAACTGCAAAATCCATTTAAAACTGTCACTTGAAGGTAATGTTTTTATCTATATTGTTATTTATAGCAACAAATGTATTGATGTTATAATTAATTTTTTTATGAATAATTTTATTTTTCTTTCTAAATGGTATATAAAAAAAAGTATTTTGAATTTTAGTTTACCATTAAAAAACATAAAACAGAAGCAAATGTAATATTTTTATATTACAAAATTAATAAAAAATTAATTTATTAAGAATGTTGTTTATCTTTTAAATTTCTCCCCCAATTTCTGAAATTCAAACATTTTGAAATAGGCCTCCAGTTGCACCATGGGTAGGTCTTTAGTATTGAACAGCATGAGTGAGATTCATTCAAATAAAGATACAAGATTATTGTCAAATCAAAGCAAGATTTATTCTCATTTATTAAACATTTATAACAATTGCAATGGCATAAACTGTGAAATATTTTAAAGTTTAAGTGATAAAACATTTTGTAAAAAGATTTCACTGAAAATAAAATAAAGATAAGTGTTAATAATTATAAATTTAAATGATACTAATGTCGGTGGAGATACTAAAATGGGAATCAGATAGGTGTTGGTTTTTGGAGAGAAAACTAACGTGACTTGTGTGGTAGTTGAAGAAGATCTCTTCATGAGATGGAATTTCCTGCCTATAGGTCTCCAGAGGTTCAAGAAAAGAATTTTTTGTTTTAGGCAGGAGAGTTTTTTTTTATTGGCTGAAATCCTT